ACCCTACCTCTATTTATACAAGACTACCTCCTCAATGGACGGTGGAGATCGATATGATCTAACGGTCGGGAGTGGAACACTCCAAAGAATCCCTAAAATGTCTCTACCTACCACCACCTACCTCTACCTACCTCTATACATATGGGCCAACTTGGGCCTAACCCTATTTGGGCTAAGTCTTGGTCTTCCTAACCTCCCCAACCCAAGGGAAACTGGCAAGGGGTTGGGTCAAAATTAGCGGGCCGTGACATTCGGCTCCAATTCAATTGAAATGAAATCAAAGGGAATTAGGGATTTGAGAATATAAATTGGGGAAAGCTGCCAAATGGATTGAGTGTATTCCAGTTGGATTTTTTACTGCCCCTTAGACGTCACTTCAGGCGCACATGACATTACTGTCCAAGTTAACTCGGAAAGTTGACAACCGAGTCAAAAGTATCAAAATGTGGTAAGATTGATGACAAATTTCGTGAACTTCAAAATTTAAAGACTAATAAAATCGTTTTAGGTGGCAAGTATAGGGACCAAAAGTGTAATTATCCCATATATATATATATATATATATATATATATATATATATATTTATATATATATATATATATATATATATATATATATATATATATATAAAATTATGTGTGATAAGATGTTTTAAGAAATTAATGAACTTATATAATATATATTTAAATGGGCAAATGGCAAAAAGGCCCATCACATGGGACTTAAATGCGTTTTGGTCCACAAAAAAACCAGTCTCTCAATTAAGCCCATCCCCATGTCTTTAGTCTAAAATACCCCCAATAATATAATTCTTATCAATTCCACCCATTATACTCTAACTTTCTTAATATTACACATTGACCCCGAATTTAAACAAATATATCACATTAACCCCCAAAACTTTATTTTTTTCAGAAAATAATTTTTTTTCTGAAATGTTTTTTTCCGGACAGATTCCGGCCAGATTCCGGCGTTGACTTTTTTTTTTTTGAATTGACAGTCATCTGAAGATAATGATACATCCAGTTTCACGAGCCCTACTATCTTCATCGGCATCTCTACTACCGGGGAGTAGACGTACCTACACATATATATAAGACGGAAAAAAAATCTGATTATTTCCATTCTCGCGCATTTTTTGCGGCGAGAGTTGGTACCTAGCCTGAAAATTTGGTTTTGAATAATGGAAGTTATGCAATCAGGTGGAAATCGGAACGGAATTTCTAAATTATGTCGTGAAATTCTAATCGGGATGTTTCCTATTCGGAACAAAAAGTTTCATTCCATTTTCCAAAAAAAAAATTGAATGGAAATTAGAATACATATCAGATTTTAATTTTCGATCCGACTTTTATTTCCGAAGGAGAAGAGTTTTTAATATTATAATGTTTTTTATAATTTAGGTTACTAAAATTTGGAAACTCCGAATTATGCATACCCCGATCCGAAAATTTCCAATTTGGAATAACTTCTTTCACTACAATTTCAAACATTCGGATTTTCAATTTTTTGAACGGAACTGGAATTCATTTTTCACTAAAAAAAAAATTGATTTTTTTCTTCCAAAAGTTTTAAATCAGATTCGTTCGATATCCACCCATAGTTAGTTTTGCAACTAAGGGCCAAAAGAAGTTCATGAATGAGATTAAATGTTAGAAATAATTCAATCTCTTCTTCAATACTAGTGATTATGTAAGTGATAAACTTCACTAGTGTAATTAAGGTTGTAATTAAGATTGTAATTACCTGTTCTTTTTTCCGAGGTAAGCCGGATTAATGGCGGCGAGATCAAGAAATTGATCGGACAACAAACGCCTCTGTACTTTCTTCGTCTTCAAACATACTCTGATTTCCTCCATTCTCGTCTCCACTAAATCTAAGCTCTCAAAAACCATTTCTATTCTCTCATTATTCGCCGCCACCATCACCACCGTATCGCCGCCGTCTTCTTCCCACGCGTTCACCGCGTGCGATATGTTCACCCCGGGAGCATCCACCCACACCATTCCACTGTCATCCTCAGCGTACTTCTCGATCACTCCAATCCTCGGAATCTTCCCTCCGTCCACCCTCACCGGCCGCCGCCCCCTCAGTATCTCCGCCGGGGTTATCACCATCTGCCCCTCGTTGAACACCGCGTAGTTCTCCGTCACGGCGAAATCGTGGAACACCGTCGCCGTCTTAACGGCGTGGATAGCCACGTTAGCCTGCTTTCTTCCATCGGAACCGATCCTGAAATACGTTAAAAACGGAGCAACTCCGGAGTATCGGAATGCAAAGGTTTCCCCGGTGACTGGATCCACTTTCGGGTGGGCCGTCATGTTGAAGAAACCGCCGCCGCCGCCGAAATCACGGCGGCCGACCGTGGCTATATCTCCGTCGGGCGTCACCTGTATCTCGTACGGAAGATCCGATTCCGTGAGAGCGTAGAGCTTCCCGGCGATGAGTGCCAAGCTGAGGTTCGCCGTGCCGAACCCGTTCGCCGCCGGCTTGAACTCTCCGGCGAGCACACGTGCGGCAGCAACAAACACACGCGCCATGGAAGCCATGCCGCCATTGAACGACGACAAAACGCTCGGGATAACGGCGTACCCCAATTCCCGCTCCGTCAAGTATTTGTAAGTCTTGATATAACGCCGGCAAAACGTGGCTCCGCCGTCGGATATTCTAACCATCTGAATCATCCCGTCGCCGTCCAATAGGTGGTGCGGGCCCCGCGGCAAGAACTGCGGATTAGGGCCGTTTCGTAAATACACACCATTCAAACATCTCGGAATATTCGAGTAGCCCTCCACCAACTCGCATGCCGTTGGAGGAAGCTCGTGGTCGACCGGCGCGTAGTTGCCCGAGAGCACATGGTGCGGGTCGATAGACGGAGGAAGGGGGGGCGATAGTGAGTCGAGAGAGTTGCATGTAAAATCATCTATGGACTTGAACAACGTCGTCAGAAACGGAACGGTATTCGGTTTGGTCTTATTGATCAACTTGAATTTGATTTTTTCGGCCGTTTTCGAAATAAGTTTCGATAAATGGTCGTTGAATATCGTGAAGGAGTGACTGCGAATAATATTTGTTCGACGGCTAATCTTCGGAGTCGCAGCAAAGGATGTGTTGGATTGAGAATATTTGGGAAGGAAGGAAGAAGAGAGGGCATCCATCTTAATTTTTATATACCTTGCTTCTCTACTCGGGTTATTTATAAGTGAACTTTTTGTGTTATTTACACGGTTGACGGAGATTCCTACTTGGCCGATTTGGTGTGGAAATTGGAATGAAAATTTCAATTTCTGCCCACGTGAGATTCCAATTTTAAATTCTAGTTTTAACAGAAACTTAAACTTATAATATCAATATCATTAAGAATTGGAATGTGATAAATATCGTTTCAGTTTTAATAATGTTGTTTTGATTTCAAATGTGATTTTGACCATTTTTAAGTTTGAATTGGGCAAAATTCAGAACATGAAATTTGTAGTTCTTTGAGTTAGCTATCTAATCTAACTTAAATTGCGAATATTGGATGTCGGTTGAAAAAATTATGCATAAATCAATGAACACTGCCCACAACTTTATCACCCTACATCCAATCTAGCTGATTCAAGTTGGAATACAAAGCTAACTGAAAGGACTACAGTTTTTGTCTTTTGAATTTTGCCAAATTCAAACTAGAGAAGGGTCAAAATCACGTTCTAAGTCAAAACGGTATTAGTAGAATTGAAATAACATTTAACATTTCAGTTAAGCATTTTATGTTAGATGACTACTAATTTGGAATAATTTTCAAATTCAGCCGATTACGATATGGAAATTTTTTATTTATGAACGAGTTTTGTGTTCCATTTTTTTTTTCTAATAGATATGTTTGAACTTATAGAACATTCACAAATATAACATGTTCGATTGATAAGATTGATACTTACTCAAACACGCTACAAAAATTAAAGGCCGCTATTAAATACTGTTATTTCATCCTTCAAACTACATATTAATTTTGTTAAATAAAAAATTTTATAGACGAATCACATATAATAATAGAATTTAACTGATTTCATACAATATCTAATCCAATGAAGAACCGAACATTTACTAACTAAATAATTAGTTAGTTAGTAGAGAATTAATCTAGTCTCATCTAATTCAAACTAATCCGAGAAATGTCCTAGAAAACGAGCTATTAATGCAATCTTGATTCAATGAAGTTGACAAGTTCAAATTGATTGCTATGTGAGAGTGAAATTTCGGATTCCACCAATTTTGTTCCAAAAATTTCAAGTTTAGAAAAATGTAAGCTGTGTGATTCACACTCAAGATTTTTTCATTTGGAGGGGCTCTAATACCATATCAATCAAAAACTTAAGTTAAGAGTAAAATGTATCATTTTATGTTAGAGATTAAATTCTGAGCGGATCAGCCGATATTTAATATAAATCGGATTCCACTAATTTTTTGACATGCGACACTTTTAAGTATTAACTCTTAATAACTCACGCTGATTATAATTAGGGTTAGAGGGGTTACGGGTTATGCTGAGTTTTTTTTTTTTTTTCAATTATTAGAATCATAATTATATTTTTATTAAAACTATCCACGTGTCAATCATTCTATGACATCCGATTTTCTTATTAAAACAGGTCATTCGATCTAAGTTTGCACTCTTAATATTAATTAATATCTCCAATAAAATTTCATCTACAATTCTTGATATTTAATTTAATCCAATTTATTTATAGATAAGACAAAAACTCTACTCCTCAAATTCTGGATTCTTCCTATGCAGAGATGTTTGCAGAATATACCCATAAGCGTTGAAATCTGGAGAGATCAATCTTCAGAAAATTAGATGGAATAAAAAAAAATATATATATATATATATATATATATATATATATATATATATATATATATATATATATATATATATATATATATATATATATATATATATATATATATATATATATATATATATATATATATATATATATATATATAAAATTTATTAAAAATTATAAAACAAAAAGAGTGTACTTTTTTAATTACATTGAATTGTTACTAATTATTTTGAACTCATAAATGATGATCTCGCAATGGCCTTACGCAAAATGTGCATATTTTTACTCCAAAATTTGAATTTTTTTAATGTGAACTAGGTAGCGGGTATAACCCATCAACCCACCCATTCCGGAATCAAGTACTCGGTTACCAACCATCAACTGACCCACAAAGATTGGGTCGACAATGGTTTTCAAATTTGACCAAAATTTGTTTTGTCGGATGGGTCAGTTATTAGGCTGGTAATCGACCGACCCAACCAGTCACAGCCCTAATATATATTATAGTACAGTGAGAACATATAAAATATAAATTGCTTAAACTCGTGAATAAAAAAAATTAAAGGCCGGCTAAAACAAAGATTAAAACTTTATGAGTATAACATCTCTTAGTTGAAGACCATATTTCACCATATTTTGTTCAAATATTTTCTTAATTTAATATCTTAATGTACAAAAATACCCTTCAATGATATACAAATTATATAGGAAAAGAAAAAATAATTTCCTCATTTTTCTCTGTTGAAGACCAAATTTCTATAGAAAATAAAATTAGAAAAACCCTCCCTCAAACCTCCAAACTCGTCGGTCGCACCACCGCCATACCACCACAGCATCACCGCCGATGCAGTCGTCCCTGCCGCGAGACTCATCATCCTTGCCACCATCATTGTTGGAAGATCAAGACTAAACCTCAAACAAACAAAGATATAATTTATTTCTTAATTTGTTTTTTAATTCTTTGAAATTGCTTCCAAAACTTGTTAAATTAGGTAATATAGGATGATTAGTCGCAAAATATGTATGTTGAGCATTAAATGTTGGTTAATTGTTGCTAGGTTGCATTGATTTGGTCGTTTTGAGGTTTGAGGTTTCGCAGAGGTTTTTCGAGGCTAATTCGACACTTATTTGTCAAATTTTCCTAAAAAAATTGACAACTTATCGGAAATAGGCCGTTCAATTTATTTTTTCCAATTGTTTTGTTTGTGTATTGATTTTTTTCCAATTTTCGACACTAAAATGTCGATTTTGTTGAAATCCTCCACACCTGCATGTCGAAAAATAAATAAAAGCGACATGTACTCTAAAATCGACTTTCAAGCACAAAAAAGACATGGATACATAATTTAATGAATTCTCCTCCATATAAATTACTATTTTATTATCTTGTGACTCCATTTTATAGGTTTTGTGAGATTTTGATTTCTTTGAATTCTGATATTGTTTGGAGGGCTTCCGAACAAGAAGAAGAAGGGTGTGAGGGTTTTGTGTGTGGTTTTAAACAAATAAAAATGATATTTTTTAAATTTTTTTGGTATTAATTTTCATTAGGAATATTAAATGTCATTACCTTTTTTTTAATATAATTAAAATGAGAAATAATTGGTCTTTATTTTAAGTGCTCATAGAAACGTTGACATTAGCTGGTTCTGATATTGCAATATATAGTTGTATATCTTCTCAAATCTGACTGGAAATATTTTATTTATTGGATTTATAATTAAATGTTGTTGATTCGCGTGTAACTTATTTAATTCATAAATGAATCAGAAAATATTAGTTGGCCTTATGCTAGTTGTCGTTCACATATAAATATATAATAATGCATATAATAAATCACCAGTCATATATATTATATTCAGGTTATTTGCAGATTGAAGCAAGTTAGCATGGACGATCTTATTCTTATGTCAGGTTTGCACATATATTTGTTTTATTAAATTTATCACAGGTGTTTCCACGTTTCAAACGTCATGGCACCTGTTGGAAATGTTTCGAGGACGTTTCTAGTAATAACGAAAAAAATTGGAAACACGTTTTCACCTAAAACAAATCAACAACCTATTTTAAATAAAAAAACTCGGAATTGTATAAGCTTAAAAAAGTTCCGGGGATGTTTTTAGTAATAAAGAAAAAATGGAAACACTTTTCCACCCAAAAATAATCAAAAATCTATTTTAAATAAAAACTCGAAATTGTATACACATAAAAAAAATCTTAAATCTCATGTCTAATTTTAACTTCTAATGGTGTTCTAATATTTTTTGTGGGTGCTAATTCCATACTAGCATAAATAATGTAATTTGTGGAATAATAATTCATATTGGAATCTCTTAAAATTATATATAAATTGTAGATATAATTTGTAGATATAATATGTAACTGACGATGTATATAAGTTAAACAATATTATTTCAATGAGAGTTGGTTCATTGTGGGTACCAAGTCCGGGTTCGCTACCCTAACGGACTATTGAGTTACCATGATTTACATTCCTCCATCAAATACTTGTCGGGCCAAGGAATGGGGGTCCTGGGGCGAGGGATTTCGCCTATTGGTACAAATTAAACAATATTATAATATTTTCAGAAATTATGAATGTACCTTTATACTTTTAATATTTACATATTTCTGCATCCAACTTTTTAAAAAATGAAGTTTCCCCATTTTGCAGTGTCCGCGCTTGTGTTGCTACATAGTCTATATATAATCCAAAAACGTGTGCCCAATAAGGGTAGTGGGTGACGAAACTGGTTATGCATAATCATATTTGATATATTTTATCTTAGCGTTTCATTCTATGATTGTAAATTTGTGATTGTGTTAATGTGATAAATTAAAGGGGTAAGTGTTGGCAGAAAACCTACACGCAAGTGCACGTATCGTACAAGTAATATAGTGGACAATTAAGTCCGGATATCGAACCCACGGGGAATATTCAATTACTTAATCCTAGACGCTAAGTTCTACCAATTATTATCAAGCCCACCCTACACAGTCGACTTTAGAGAGAATTAACGAAATTAAACTAAATTAAAAAGCAAGCAAAAACAAGAAAGCAATTTAAAACACGAAGATTAATCAAAGTAAACAAGTCTAGGATTTTATTCTTCCCCCTATGTGATTATTACTCCCCCAATTCTTTCAATTATGCAAGCAATTAACCCGGATTATTAACCTGAGATGCTAAAATAATCATAACCCGCTTCCGCGTGTATTACGATTCTAATACTCTAGATTCAATTACTATATTCCTATGCAATTAATTCTAGAACACAGCATTAAGCACAAATCTCAATAATGGCTACCTAAGAGATTAACTATATTCTTATGTTAATACCACAAAGGCTCTTCTACCACAGTTCTAATT